GGTTAGCAGAACAACAGTGAGCAGTGCGTAAAGATCGCATATTAATAATAAGTATGTTAATACGCATATGTATATGCTAAGTACCTAAGTACAATTTGAAATTGAAATTAATAATAAATTTTATTATTATTGCGCGTTTGATGTTTCAACTTTGCTGTCAAGACAAAACAAATTGATTTGTAATGTAAAAAAAGAGAATAAAATAATACTAAAATTCTAATTCATACGAGAACATACAAATACTCGTAAAAACACTCATGTATGTACATACATTTATATATATAAAACAAGTATTACATATGTATTTTGTTTTAATGAGTAGCAGACACCCTTTAGGACAAATTTAATTAAAAAAAATACACTCAAAAAAAAATCCATTGCGTGGAATTGACTCGCGTGTTACCTAAACGGAAGGCCAGTAGGGACCAATATCCGAAATTGTGGAAAATTAATTTGGAAAACAATAATAATTCTTCTAACTACGGCGGGCCCTCAGCAGGTAATGTCAAGCCCTCCGAGTATGTTTCTGACAGGATTTTTTTTACTCGTCTAAAGTCGCCTAAATTTCTCTTTTCCTCGATGTCGTCGAAATATTAATCTCTCAATACGTTTTGAATCCGAGGCTTTTTTTTTGATTTTCAATTGGAGTTTATGTTTATTGGCTATCCAGAGGACACTTGTCTCAAAACGGGAAGTCGTGAGCTACTTCAAATAATATGCAATAGAATCGTTCCTCGGCTACTTCCAGGTGAATGACAATCAAAAATCTTTTAAGAGTGTACAATAACGGGTGTATGCCGATGTCATAGATATCAAACCCTTAAAAATCGCACCATTAGTTTTGCTTTCTCCAAAGTTGATGAAGAAACGAAGCGACTGGGTCTGATAGTGAATCATGGCAAGACGAAATATATTCTGTCCTGAAACAAACAGTTACCGGCTCTCACGTTACTGTCAACACCAATAAAAATGTTAGTCTAGAAATCCAACACAGAATCAGTCTCGCCAACAGGTGCTACTTTGGTCTGAGTGGTCAATTGAAAAGCAAAATTCTCTCTCGACCAACCAAAACCAAACTATACAGCTTTGAAAGTATTTGGTGAAGTACACGCTAGTCGAAGCAGACGGTGAGGAACACCACCACTTTATTGGAAGGAGAAGACCAAGTGCAGAGCGACCTGGTTGCAGCTGGGAGCAACGACACGCTTCCGTTGAATCGGCTATACACACGTACGCGAGCGCTAAGCCAATGAAGAAGAAGAAGAAGAATTCGTTCTGAATTTTATTATATATCACCGAAGACCAGTCCTACACTCTAGAGGTGGGTGAAAAAAGTCTTTGTACTTTTGTGAATCGAATTATATAAGACTTGGTATTTTCTAGTTTTTTTTATGATAGTAATTAAATTTTTTTCGAAGTTGGCCGACAGGGGTCCAGCTTCGAAAAAATGTTTAATCATTATCGATTCGAAAATTCTGTAAAAATTTGCGACGTCTTAAAAAAATTTTCCAGATTAAAGCATAACCATGTAAGGATGTAATCTGGTGTCCGTTGTCCAGAACAAACACATTTTCCACTATGAACTTAAATTCGTAATCGATGAGGTAACTGTTTCGCTACCCGACTAAAACGAAGTTCGAGTAGTTTGAAGAATAATAGGAGGGGCGACGGGACGAGACAGCTTACCCGCTGAGCTACTAGCTGTCTGTTTCTTTGTCGAATATTGTCGGGCAAAAGCAAGCCTGAAGATGGGAACTTGAGAGTGCGAGAGAGAGAGAATGCTCAGTATGTATCAATTACAGTCTGATAAGCTCCTATCGCACATAAAGTCTTCTTTTTTAGTATCGTGTGAAAGACTAAGATCCAACCTTAACCAACTGGCTGGACCGCATCTTGGCGATTTTAGACCTGGTCAATCCACTTTGACCAGATATTCAACACCCTCTCCGAGCCATGTAAGGACAAACTGTGGCTCCATATGGTATGCCTTCTTCAATTCAATAATAATACAAGCCTGCAGAGCTAAATAGAGAAGGTAAAATCTTCTATAAGAATGTAAATTTACTGGCTCACCAATTCAAACCAAAATCAATCTTATTAAGAAATGCTATTTTGAATTGAGAATGCGATTAATAAGTAGGGTCCTCTCTCGACGAGCAAAAACCAAATTCTACAAGTTGCGCTTGAAGATTTAAGGTGCTTTACACATTAGCTAATGAAGAGATAACGGCTATGCTGACCAGATCATGTCGTTCAAATAGGCGCCAACACTCCAACTTTGAAAGTATTCATTGCAGGACTCATCGGTGGAAGACAACTTGGAATTTCCGATTAAATGAACAAACGACTGGCGTGCCCATATTGTTGATTCTGCCATAATCGCTTAAGAAGTGCCTGCTCAGATCCGCATATCTCGAAACGTTGCCGACCGATTGACTTCAAATTTTATTAGATTGTTTCTTGGTGGAAAGGTTTATACGAAAAAAAAAATTTGTGGAAGTGAGCCGAGAGGGCTGATCTACTGAAAAACTATTTACAGGAAGACTACTCTTCTCTCTGTGAAGTGGACCAAGAACTGACATTTTTTTTTTGAAAAAATTGTATTTTTGGTTCAATTTATTTTAAATGATTTTTACGAAAAATCGTATTATCGTTCTTTTTAGGGGAATTGAACCGATCTACCACATTCAAGGTTATTTTAATTCAATTTTTTTGAGGCTATGCCTAAATGGAATAATTGTGCTTTCTGGAAACGGACTTATTCTTTTGGGAAAGAGGCGATGGAAAGATTGACAAAAATCAGTATGATTCGCATAGAAACATAGATCGCGTAGGCATGTTCGCTTCACATTTTTTATTATTCTACGGTGGCGGGTTAGAATCTGCTCTTAAACGTTCAACCTTCGTGTGAAGATATGCAGGGGTCTGCATATGTTGCTGACTCAACTTATATTAAACGTATGACGAAAAATAAGACAACAAAAAATCAAGATTGCCTAGAAAAACTTAACTTCTACGCAATTATGTTTTAGCTTCCCGTTTTTTTTCTGAAACTACCCAAAGCCCTTAGTTACATTAGTAAAAAGTCTATTAAAAAGTAATCCATTATTTTTGGAATAAAATTCTTTACTGATCTCTGCCCCCCGTTCTATAAATGCAATAGGAATACACTGGATAGCGTTAGAAAGATAAGGTTATGGGGTAAAAATGACAATGGGAAAAGTGTTGATCCCTCAGCTAAAGAGTATTTGAGCGCTATATTCTAAAATTTTTTTCGATATAGACGCAAGTTAGGTAACTGAAATGTGAATAGTGCTAATGATCCTGATACTGTCACAGCTAATCATGCTCAATTTTGGATTCGTCGGTTTCGTTTCGGTAATTTTGGTGTAAAAGATGCGCTAATCGTTGAAAAGTCTGACCATCAAGGATTGCCCAGGATCTAAACATTGCACAAAAAAACTGTTCGGAAACACTTGAAAGAGGCTGAATACACAAAGAAGCTCAATTCATATGTGCCCAATGGGTTTATGAGAAAAAACCTCAAAACACCGAATTTTTACCTTCGAAGTGTTGTTGAATCGTAACAAAATCGAGAAGTTTCTCAAGCGGATATTGATTGGTGATGAAAAGTTAGATCACTTACAGCAACGTCAAATGAAAACGATAGTGGTTGAAGGCCAGTGGGCCGGCACAAATGGTCTACAAGCCAGGACAAGACGACCAGGAAGGTTTTTCTGGGTGTTTAATGTGATTGACAACAATTCAACCACTATGAGCTGCTCTGCACTTCAAACTCCCTCTTAATTCGGAGCTGTAATGTCAGCAATTGAACCGTCTGAAGAAAGCAATTGCATAGAAGCGCGTTGCTTTGGTCAGCAGGAGGGGAATTGTGTGTCATCAGGGCAAGGTCAGGCCACCCAAATCGATAGTGACTCGCCGTAAGCTTCGACAGCCTGCTTGGGAGGTTGATATGCAACCATCTTATAGTGATTACCATCTACACATGTTTATGGCGAATGATTTGGTTGGTGAAGAATTTGCCTTAAGAGACGCCTGTGAAATTGACCCGGTTTTTTGCTAATACGAATATGGGTTTCTATGAGAGATGAATATTAGCTTTTCTGGTATAAATCTGATAACAGTAAAGCCTTCAATTTAATGCAAAAAATAACAGATTAATTTTTGCTTGACCATTTACATGATTCCTGCTGGCTCACTCTAACAACGACACCAAGGCAATAGCGACGACAATCACTAAACATACATACATATATATAGCAGCCAATCAGCAAAAAAAAGAAAAAAAAACAACAATTAAAACTAAAGCGAGTGGCGGGTGTTCTTATCCGCAATTTTATTTCATTTTCTTAATTTTTTTTTTAATTTATTTTTTTTAATTGCTCTTTTTCTCTTTGCTTGTACATTTCTATGTAGTATGTATATATGTATGTGCATTTACACTCCACATTCATTGCTACCATTTACAATACAAATCGCTGGAGCGCCTCCACAGCGCGCCATTCAACGCTTAGCATATGAAAATCGCAAGCAGTCCGTCTGTCGCTGCTCATCGAGAATGGCGTGAAGAGCATACAATTGTACAAGTGTTTGTTGTAATAAATATATGTTGTCAAAATAGTTCTATGGATTGTGTTGTGCTGTGTTTTGTTGCATGTGCGTGAATTGAGTTGTTAAAAATTGGCAATTTCACTGCCAGTCGGTGTTCTTCTCTTAAAACGCTTATAATTGAAGCAACGCGAATCAATCCACTTACATACATACATATTTACATAAATAGATACTTTTGTATGACAAGTAGTAAACAAATGGGCGAGAAAAGAAAGTGAAATAGCAAAGTATTCAATGTAAAATGAATTTATTGGGCAAAGTTTTATTAAAAAAATAAAAAATAAAAAATTTAAAAATATAAAAAAAAAATAAAATTTAAAAATAAAAAATTTAAAAAAAAGTAAAAAATAAAATTTAAAAATAAAAATAAAAAACAAAATAAAAAAAATTAAAATTGAAAAAAAAAATCCCAATAAAAAATGTCTTCTTTGCGCGCTGCAACATTTTTCTGCTTCTTGTTCACTTTGTTGAGTTTGGAATTCGTCTCACCTTGGATGAATTTCAACAGTTATGTATCGAAGAAACGTACCGATTTGAAAAAACGTTGTCCAAATGTGAGTGTATTTTTTTTCTTTCAATAATTCACTGAAATGTTGATATCAATTGTGTTAGTGTGAGTGTGTTGGTTTGTTTTTTCTCCTTTCTCAGACGGAAACTATATTTTAAATAAAAAAATATTGTTATCAGTATTTCCTGGGGCATGTGTGGCATGCATGGAACGTCGTAAACAAAGTTGAAGCTACATACATACTTACACGTACATATATGGGAATACAATAGCCGAATGGCTAGTATTGCGGCAGGAATTGTCAAGCCCTGTCGAGTGTATTTCCGATATGAAACAAAAAAGTTCCTCATAAAAATTGATCGGTAGTGCGAATTCGGCTTAGAATAAACTGTAGGTATTGTGGTTCCATTTGTTGGAAAAACAACAAGACATGGTCAAGAATTTGACTTTATTCTAAGGTCAAGAGTTTTCTCATTATATTTTGAAAGTGACTTCGTGCAAGTGACCGCCGCGGTTGTATCGAATACATTTCGATCGCTTTTTTCATCAACTGTTGCCGAATGTCAGCAATAACGCGCCGAAAACTAACTTCCCAGGCGTCATTCGTCTCGGGTATATCTGCATAGACAAGGGACTTCACATAACCAAAAATAGCCCGCGCTGTTCAATCGCACTATCTTGGAGTCCACATCACAGATCCGCGTTGCGAAAAAATAGGTGCATTAAAAGCTTCCTTTAATAAATTGATTGTTTCGTTGCCTCTATAGCCTACAGCGCCATCTTATTGGAACCAAAGTTCGTGCATATCAACATTCTACAATTCAGGCACGAAAAACTTATTAATCATGGCTCTATAGCGTTGCCCATTGAATGTAACCGAGCAAAATGACGTCACTCTTGAAGAAATATCAACCAATGAATTCCTCTGATCAGAGAGTACAACAAGTAAGGACTTTTTGAGGATCTAACGGCGTCTCAACAATGGCGTTCATTAGTTCAAATGCAACAATTTTTACTCACGTACTTACTTTACTTTACTGGCGTAGACAGCGCTTGAGCGATTATAGCGCCATTCGTTTCTTCTTTTTGCTGTTTGGCGCCAATTGGAAAAACCAAGTGCAGTCTACCTGGCCTTTCCAATGGAGTGGAGATTTTCCTCTTCCTCTGCTTGCCCCGGCGGGTACTACGTCAAAAACTTTCAAAGCTGGAGTATTCGCATCCATCCGGACAACATGACCTAGCCAGCGTAGCCGCTGCTTCGCTGAACTATGTCAATGTCGCGGTATAACTCGTACAGCTCATCGTTTCATCGTCTGAGATATTCGCCATTGCCAAATTAACGTACTAATTTAACCAAAACTGAGCTTTAACAATAATTTCCTTTTAAAAATCGGTGTCCGCAGCCATTTCGTTTTGGACTCATTCAATGAACGTGCGATGCGCTTAATGGTCAAGTCTTGCACAAGTTGGTGGATTTTGTTCGTCTGCAAACCGAGATGCGTCCTCAAAATCTTCCATAAAGTCATTCGGACTCATCGATGTACTCGGATGGACTCATTAGCCTCACTCTGAAGCATTAACAGTGTTATCCGCATTCCGAGGTCCTGCCAGGCTTACCAGTGCCTCTCGTTCCGTTTGCCATCTTGTACACTTGAAAAATATGTGCTCAGTACTGTCTTCGGTAGCGTTGTTGTATATGCAGGACGGCTCTTCTGCTTTACCAATCTTATGTAAGTAATTCCGGAAGTAACCGTGTCCAAAAAACATTGGGGTGATATGATAGTTCACATAGCCGAATTTTTTATGTGACCAAACGTAAAACCTTAATTAGCCTAGCCGTCCAACTGCCGCAGGTTTCTCTTTCCCAACGACGCTGCCAACGGTTGTACGTCTCGTCTTTCTAGTACTAAGCAGTTCTGAAGGAACACTACCGCTCTAGGTTGTCTCTCTTTAATGTGTCCGCCCGTAGCTCTGCCCCATAAAGTAGAATACTAATAGCCGCGGACAATAGTTTTATTTTCTCTTGTGTGGGCTCTCCGGTGTTGGAGGCATGTTGCATTTGTGCTCAGTAAGTAAGTCTAGTATCCAGAATATAGCAGACTACGTAGAGGATGTACTGCGCAAGAAAAAGCGGGACCTGGACACAGGTGATGTGATGTAAATCTCAGCACGAGAAATATGGAACGTCACCTTGAAGTAATGCGAAAGCGATTCCAGGGTAGGCGACGGTTCCTCATAGGAGAGTTCTTTGATGACACATACCATTGTTGTGACGACACAATGATGATGCCGCAGGCATTTTTCTTCTCCTCACCTGCAAACAAAAAAAAATCGACGGCCTCCAGTGAAGCTTTCGTAATGCTTAATGGCTCGTTGGTTCTAAAACCCCCATTTCTAAGCGACCCCACAGGTGGTAATATATTTTGCCGTTTTTTAATTCGAGAAATAATATTCAAAGAAGCCTTGTTGTGAATGTCTGGAGATCAGCGCAGATTCTAAACTAAAATTTTTTAAGTTTTTTAAAATTATTTTTAAGATTTCGAATGAAAGTGCTCACATTACTAATGACATCGCCCAGAAATTATATGCGCTTACGAAAAAAAAACATATTTAATGCCTCGCAATAAATTTACAATTCATCGCATAAATCAAAAAATCGGTGCCAAATGGAACATTCAATTAAAATATGCAAATTTTCACAAACATTTTCGATTTTGTTCTAAATAATCTGCATTCCATAAAGAGACGCCGCTTCCATACAATATATTTGCTAAACTCTCGTTGTGTGAGACTTTGTTAATGTCTTCGTTTTGCAACGAAACTAGATCTCAATGTGCGACGCCGTGCAATGCTACCGTTGCGACGTTCCACTCTGGGATCAAGAATCGCCTGTCGAGCGGGAGAGAGGCAGAAATGCGGTCGACGCTAGTACAAAGTATAGATATTCAAGTGCTGAGCGGTGGCAGGCGGCCGCCGAAAGAGTTCCAAATAATTCCAAATATACACTTTCTTTTCTGCACTTGGCACTACGCCCAAACATGCCGAGCGCATACACACACTCACACACACACACGTATTTATTTATATATGAACATACATACATATGTACATACGTGTGTATATGTGCTCATATTAACTCGTATAAACCTCCGTTCCTCTTCGCGTAAGAGCCGTCTCGTTGCCTGCTAATCTGGACGCGTTGAGCTGGATGGTTACGCGCACCTTCCAAGACACGCACACACTCACACAGGTGTGAGTGCGCCTTCGCATGCATTGCGCTGATGCCGTGGCCGCATGTGCTCGCATTCTAAATACCTTTTTGCTTGAGCGACAGCGACAATAACAACAACAACAAGCTGTACTCTACGAAATCAGGTAGTAGACAACCATAATGTAATGTACGAAAATAAAAAGAAGCAGGCAAAATAAGAAGAAATAGAAATTTTTAATGTAAATACGTTTTTCATCAAATGGAATCTCATCAATATGCGCTACACGCGACATTGCACATTTATCAGAATGACGGAAAAGTAGCAACGAAATGCGCCAAGACAAGTGAACCGCCGCTGCTGCTGCTGCTGCTGCTGCCCATCACCAGCATATCATAGTCCAGTGGGCCAAGCGTCAAGCGCCAGCATCTACTATTACACATGTTACATATATACAAGCGCATAGAGTAAACGTGAGGCAATCATGAGCGTTTGCGCATGCGTTGGGCGACTTACATACCATCCATTGAGTCGCGCCAAAAAATCAATCACACTTTCTAAATGACCAAGTCTGTGCGCGCTCACATCGCTGGAGCCGAATTCACGGTCAGCCAAAAGTGAAGAACTATTGCGAATGTTGACTGAATGCCATCGCGTTTGCGCATTTGAAATGTGATCCATTTAGTTTGTTTCTTCACATAAAAAACTCGTCTGGTTTAAGATTCTAGTGGGCGTTGGATAATTGACTTTTTAATGATCATAAGTGAAACGCCTGCGAAAGAAAAAGTAAAATGATATGATGAAGTGTGGTGTAGTTGTATTTTCCCTTTAGACTTTTCATTTTTATTGTAGAGGAAAATGGGTTAATTCTTTTAAAGACGATTCATGGTTAGAGATGAAAAATTATTAGATCTTTTATTATAGAGTTTTCCCCTCGCTCGTACTTCCCCTTACTCAAGCTGTTGCTTTGAGTTTTTAATTTTTTGATGGAAACCCTTACAAGTATTTCAGACTAATACAATTTTTATGCGCCGAACACTAGACGTGTTCTATCAAGTACATCACGTAAGTCCGCTCTAGCTGATTTCTCTGCAGAGTGAGGTCTCTACTCGAGGGACAACAGAAAAAATAAAAATGATGGACATCGAAGTTTTAGGCTTCTCAAACAAATCGATCATTTGTGAAGGCCTCAACTCCGAAGATCCTTAGTTACGCATAACACATATAAGAAGCAAGAATAAATGGTACTTGCCCTACGACTTCAACCGCGGTGAAAACCAAATCCGCCAAAAGGGTGAATCTTCCTCGGGCACAACTCGATATGCAGAAATGGAGGACACAAAATACTGGTTTCAAGCTAAAAAGCTTCAAAGAGGGCGTATCAATGGCTGTTGGACTGGTCGACTTAGTAAATTGCGCTGAGCTAGTCCGCAGGCAACACTTCAAGCTTCCGGAGTACTACCGTATTTTCCATATAGGGAAAGCTGCTGACATAACATAGAGCCACGCAGAAAACCATATACGAAGTATCAATATGTACATATATAGGCAGCCAGCCGGAAAATGTTGTTAAAAGCTGTCGACAGGGCAACCGGGGGTAGACGGCTGCTGGCTATACTGGGTCCTAGGCTACAAAGGCATTCTGCGTAACGAAATCGCTGCTGAGATTGCCATAAGCTCCATTTATCTTGCTGGCGAACCAGTGCAGTATATTGAAAATCTTTAAAAACGACTGGGTGCTGAATCGCTGTGAGATGGAACGCTTAAGCGATGTGTAAAGCCACCAAGATAACGTGCAATAGCAAGCAGCAAAGGAAACACCCATTATGGTGTACATGCTCACGTAAGGATTAAGGATTATCGGTCTAATGACGGCCCGTAGTGATGGCGCATGTAGGAAATGCCGGGTGGAGGGCACGAGTGAGACGTTAATACACCTTCTCTGTGTCTGCCTTAGATATCTCGAAGTTTCGCTGCTCAAAAAACTGGAGGATGCTTCAAAATTAGATAAATAAGACGTCGACTTTAGCTCGCAGTAAAACGGACCACCATCTGGTACTGCGAAGAACCAACTGGTTTATGTAAAGGGCTTCAGCTGGATAGTGAAAAACATAACCTAAAATACCAGAAGCTATACGAAAAGTCGCTAGACAGAAATCTACTTAAATTCTGATTCCTTTTTAATCGAATCTACCTGTATTTTCAGGGTATGCAACAAACATCTGATTAAATGCTAGTCAAAGTTTTAACAGCTCCTTCACCTAGATTGATTCCTTGATGAAAAACTAGCGCATTAAAAATAGCAAGATCTTTTAAATGATAATTTGGCTGCTTCATTTCGCGTTGCAGACGTGGAAAAGACTATAATTCGTATCAGAATGAAGTTTTTTTTTGCATAGAAGAGGTCGGTGTGATTAAGAACTCTTTCAATATATACGTGGAACAGGTTCACTCGTATAGGCTCCTCAAATATTTAAAAAGATTCATAACGGCAAATGTGGCTTCTTTACAGAAGACCCAGAATATCAGATTACCACTTGATGAAAATTGGATTGGAAATTTCTGAAGTTCGTCAAGAACACTCGGATCATCAAAAATACACAGGAAACTCGACTTTTACGCACAACTAGGGATATCTAGAAGACCCATCTAACTTCCCATCTGCCGCAAGGTGTCAAAATACAGGAGGTCAAAGTCCAGGGATCCTGAGCCGCCTAAGAATATTTATTTAATGCTATTGTCAGCTTTTGTTTGTCCAATGTTTAATCGTTGATTACTGAGATTTTTATCTGTATACATATCTTTGTCTTCCTCGTTTATTTACAGGTTCGTGCAGTTCGAAATTTCGATCTGGAGTCAATGATGGGATTCTGGTATGTAGTTCAATATTATGCATCAACGGAAGAATTGCCAGAATATGCCTGTATGCAGAGTAATTTTGCATTTTCCGCTGAAGATCAACATGTAAGTAGAGGAAACGTTGCGAAATCAGTTAAGTTGAAAAATAAACAAATCTCTCTGGTCACGTACTCGTCAAGCTTGCTAACATAGATTCCTTTATCGGCCTTAAATCACTGCAGCGATTAGAAAGACTCTATTTTTGATTGACGAGAATTTTTTAGTTTTCTTCTTTCATACAAAAAATTTATTCTGCGGCAAATAATTTATTTTTTTTTTTTGTTATAATCTACCGAATTGATAAGAGACGACCTTGATACGAGCCAAAGTAGTATGCTAGACGCAAACATTTGAGAATTTCTTATGCAAACGAGTAAATTGTGTAAACAAACCCATACATATATAATTTTAGAAAGTGTTCTTGACTTTTGGCCTTAAATGGCCAACTATTGCAAATATCAAACAAAAAAAAAACTAATTATTTTCCAAAATTATTGTGTTGTATCATTATTTGTATTAATTATTGTTTCATTTAGTTTAATACAAATTTATTATATTTCATTTCATTTCATTTATTTTATTTCTTTTTTACCTTATTTTAGATTATTCGATTTCATTTTATTTTGTATTAATTAATTTAATTCTATTTTTATTTTTTTTTTTATTTTATTTTATTTTATCTCATTTTTTTTATTTTATTTTATTTTATTTTATTTTATTTTATTTTATTTTATTTTATTTTATTTTATTTTATTGTATTTTATTTTATTTTATTTTAATTTATCAAATTTGTCTCATTTTTTTATTTAAATTTTTTTATATTATTCTATTTTCTATTGTTATTTTTTTATTTATTTGAGTTTAGTTTTATTTCATTTTTAGTTTATTGTTTATATTATTTTGTTTTTTATTATATATTATTAAAAATTTTTATTGTACTTGAATTTAGTTTATTTTATTTTATATAAATTTGTAATATTTTATTTACAAAAATTTTTTTTTTATTTTGTTTCATTATGTTTTATACTTTCTACTTTTTTTAGATCACTATGAATTTTAGTTACATCTTTGCCGAAGATCCATTAAGAGAAAAATTACAAGGGAATATTACGTGGATCATACCGGATTTTGAAGCACCAGCACATTGGATGCACACTGAAGATATTTGTAAGTATGAAGGGCAGTGAATATTTGCTTTGAGAGCTTTGAATGCTTATTTTGAGGTAATGCCACGCTGTTTTTGGGTTTATTAAGAAGGTTTTTTCCAGGCTTTCATCTCTACATGTCTAGTTTGTTTTTATTTTCACGTTTTACATATTTATGTACTTATTCCAACATTTCTCTCTTCCATCAGATGAGGGCATCTACAATACTTACGTCATCGATACGGATTACAAGTCATGGAGCCTAATAATGCATTGCGCGGAGAAGAAAAAATCACCGCGTTATTTATCAGCTTTGTTGTTGTCACGAGAACCACAATTAGGCGATAATGTCATCAACTTTTTGAGGTATATTTGTATATACTCGTACATAATAAGGGAAATTTATTTTTATTGATTTACTTTGAACTGATTTGTAAAACTTGACTTATTGATGTATAAAAAATTATTCATATTTCAGAGAAAAACTACCTCGGTATGAGATTGACTTGTCGTTCATGTTTCCAATCAATCAAACTTGCCATAATTTAATGGAGTCTGTTAATGATGATCCACTCGCTTACATATTAAATGAAGAAAAGAAGAAAGGAAAGGATGTGAAGTTTATTTTAAAAACATAAATGATGCTCCAAAAAATATACTGTTGTAAAATATTATTTTGAAAAAATATCAGTATGTATATTATAGTCAATAAAATAGGAAATAAAATTATTGTAGCACCGGCAGAAACAAACTGGAAAAGGCAAAAGCAGGATTATTAAGGTATACGAGTCTGCTTAACGAGTGTAGGAAAATACTTTATAATTTTTTACTTGTTAAAAATTCTTTCATTGTAATATGTATTTTCAAGCAACTCAAAATATATATAAATACTTTTGAATAATATACATACGTACATACACATATGTGCATACATATATAGTGTTTTAAAACTTAATTACGTAAAAAATACCATCAAACGAGTTTTTCTGTTTTAATATATACTATAATATAATATGTATGTACATGCATATGTATGTCCCCATTCACCGTACAGAAAATAAGCCTATCTGTTTTTCGAAAATTTTTTGAAGAGGTTTGCAGATACATGTGCCTCTGGTCTTAAAAGTATGCGAAAACAACCCTATTGAATTCATTTGTTAAAATCATCACTTTAAGCTTTAATAAAGAATAATAATTATATAACCGTATATTACTTAGCTCTTATTAATTTCAGACAAATTATTAAATTACAAAGTATAATGTCTTCTGATTGAAAAATAAACATTATTTGCTCTTTAAATTACTTCTTTATTTGCAAAAAGTTGCACTGGTACGTATTTTAGCAAATAAGTTGAAATTTTTCTCAAGTTGAGGCACACAACTAATTTTCACTTTCAAAATTCCTTACTTTATTTACAGTTATTCGGCCTAAGAGCAATATCCTCCTTACGTTCGATTTCAAAGAGCATTTTTTAAAAGACAAGACCAAAAAATTATAATAATAACTCATATACACATTTATATGTCTAACATTATTAAAAATAATTAATATTTAATCTGATTAACTTTCCCGATTTAATTTAGTTTTTTTCCTTTAAATAAAATGCCCTTTTCCCCCAAAATCTCTCATTTGTCATAATAATCTCCCGAAAGTTTTATCATGAATGGCAGTACCGTCGAAGTGGTGAATAAGGAACGAGAAAAATAAAAATGGCTCCGATACATAAAAGTAGTAAACTTCGCCAAAAATAATTTCCGAATTTTATTAATTTAATGCAAATTTTCGTGTGTAAAAATACTGTGAGTAAATTAAAGATAGTGGACGAAAACTTTGAAACATATTCGGCAGGCAGAATAAATGTGTTGTGTGTATTTTAAAGTGTTTTGAATTTCGTGTACTCTTGCCGTCTGTCCTACAAAGAAAAGCACACAGGTACGGTGACAGTGAACACGAATGTGAAAGCAAATCGAAAATATTCGTAATTTTTGTGCAACTGTTGGTCACATATTGCACAAATCAAATCTGAATCGGGCAAAATTAGTTTGTAAATAAATTCAAAGGAATAATTTATGTGAAAAAGCCTTTTCTATTATATTGTAAAATTTTATTACACTCGGTCGGGTCCATTGATTGGGTGGCTGCAGAAGAAAAAAGTGCTGGGTGTTTTTGGATGGGACGAAAATCTTATTGGGGGAACAGATGAAAGTCGCGCCGAAAGGAAACTACATAAAATTACAACAAAAACATATTTGACGTTTTATGTTGTGTTTACTGAACATCGTGGTGGAATTAAAACTTTTGAAAGGTGGTGAATACAAGTACGGCTATCATGCGCCGCCTGCATAAATACAAAAGAAAACAAAAACAAAAAAGTTATTTAAACTTAATTGAACTAAGAAATCATGAATAATTATATAAAGAAACATGTACATTAATAATGATATCAAGCATATCGATCTTGGTAAAAAAAAATATTGTGATTTAGTTAATCACTTGAAAATTAAGATCTTTGAAATTTGGTAAATGTGGCTTTGCATTTTGTGCAAATATTTATAAATGAAAATATCATGTTCCATAACATAAAGTTCAAATGAAAATATACAAAGTCCATATAATATTTATAAACTTATTCGGATTTGTGTCGCACATTGTAGTGTAATCTTTAATTTGATTATAAAAATTGCTTTATAATGTCGCGGTGGGGCAAAAATATCGTTGTCCCGTTGGACGTGCTTTGTAAAGGAGAAGAAAGCACCAATCGTCCAACTGTAGCGCGCTCCGTCGGTACTGTGGGTAAATGGGGCAAAATAGGATTTACATCAACTCGTACCTACGCTTTAGCGGCACTTTCTCCAGCCGTAGCAGCAGCAGCTGCCGCCGCGGCCGCGGCAGCTAGTCCAGCTCAGAGCCCTGCGTCATTACTGGATGATGACTTGTCACCCTCTGTACCGGAACCGCCAAAGCCTAAGAAATTTTTTAAATCGCGCAACACTGCACCGCCAGAGGTGATTGCACAAATTATTCAGAATATGCCTCGAACACCAGCGTCGCCTGTGCGTGAAAGTTACTCGGCGGGCACTTCAAATGCAGGATCAACTAGCACACCAGTCCGCGAACCAATTAAATTAAAAATACCGAAAACAAATGCTGGAGAACGTAAGAAAAAGTCGCCAAAAAAGACAAGTGCAAAACAAGTGCCAGCGGCCCAAAGTGACGACAACATTGCCAACGATGCATCAACGGCAATATCCACTAAGACGGCTAGTGAATCTAAGCAAAAAAAGAAGAAAGAAGAGAAGAAATTAAAACCCGAGGCACCGCCTTCACGTGTTATAGCCCGCGCACGAAAAGTAGTCAACTACTGTGAAGATGATGAAGATGAACGCATACCAACTCCTCTAAAGGATATAATTTTCCCTAAGGACAAACCTTCGAAGGCCGAAGAAACAATTGTTTCTCCTGCTGAGATCATACAAGAAGCAATTGTGACGGTACCGGAATTACCGCCGCCTTCAGCACCCGCGCCCTCATCTGTTGCTATTAGTTCGACGATAATTGGAAATGCAGCAAGTACGTCGGCAATAGTCACACCCACGTATACACCGAAGACTCCAGAGCATCCACCAATAGTGTTGCGGATTTCAAAAGTAAATATACTTTAATACAGTTAATTCAGATCTGCTTATAATGCGCATATATTAAATTTAGTTTAAATATATTATTTTTGTTAATGCCTTATATTTTGCAAAAAGTTCATTCGCTCCTTGCATACGCGTGAGAATTAATTTGGCCTCCAAAACCTCTTTCCCATCACCCCTCAAGTGGTAAATTCTTATCTCACCACTATTCACAATAGATTTTGTTCTATTTTCTTCAAATTTAAGAAAAACGACCACAAAAGCAAACGCGAAGGAAGTGTAACAACAAAAAAGAAAAACGCGCGCTTTTTCTGTTAGGGTTTCTATTCTTTGGTTCAAGTAAACTAATTGTAGTGAGAAGAGAATTCTTGTGAAAACAAAAAATTAAATAAAAAATTGTACGAAAATAAAATAATTATTCTTAATTCTTTTTTTATTCAAATGTGTTTAATTTTATGAAAAAAAAAAATCTGCCGATGAATTAACTTATCTACACAAATTTTTGAATTTCAGGGTACATCTCGTTTAGTGAGTACGGACAGCGAAGAACAGCCGGCGAGTAATAACATCGCTTCCCCGCATCAACAAAACGACACGGAGCCATCAAAATCCAGACACACCTCCACAGAAGAAGTTCCTTCCGCACACCCGCCATTGGTACACAATACGCCAAAGATTATTGTAAAACCACTGCGGCCGCCATCACCCGAACCTGTGTTACCACCGCCTTCCTTTCCCGCTCCCCACACATCAAACGTATCACATCATAATTCTGAGGATCCATCAGAAATCAATTACTCAACAGTAAAGATTTCCCCTGACAAACCGCCCAAGGAGCGTTTGAAACTCATTATAAAAACCGACGTAATACGGAACGCCATTAAAGCAGCTGAGGCAGCAAAAGCTGCTGCAGCAGCTCAAAAAGCAGCCGCTGCTGCAGAAGGAGGAACTGGATCCGGTGGTGAACGTGATAAGAAACAGAAAAGTAAAAAACATAAACATTTGAAGCATGCGGCTTTAGAGCAGATTTCAAATTCTCTTCAAGCGAATATTGCAGCGACTGGCAGTGAATTTAAAACGCCTTCACCACATTTAGCGTTCAGTGCGCACATAGAGCAACAACATCAAGCAGTGAGTGGCCCTGGACGAACGGTCATTTCACCGCCGGCGCTCTCAGAACGCGACTTTGATTCACAATCGTCTGTTTTGGGCAGCATTTCATCGAAAGGTAATAGTACACCACAGCTACTAGCACAGGCTGTGCACGAAGAAAGTTGTGTGATACACAGTCGTGGATCTAGTGTCATAACCAGCGACTTAGAAACAAGTCAACATTCCTCCTTAGTAGCACCACCATCCGATATAGAGTCCCGCTTGGAATCCATGATGATGGACGGTGAAGTGAGTCAACGAGCAACGAATTTGGTAGAAGAACCGCTGCAGGAAGACATCTTGGCTGTGTTACGTGGCGATGAAAGCATTCTTTCAGCTGCTGGTTTAAACACCGAGTCCAATGAGCTTAAAATGAATGGTGTATCGGAGAAACTGGATACAGCTGGCAATGAATGTGTCCCAGCAGAGCAAAGAGAAGTTGAAAAAGAAGCCAAGACAAATCGTCGTGTAACACGAGGACGAGGCCGTGGCGCTAAGGCGAATTATGTGGAAAATGAAGATGAAAGTAGCAGATCACCACAGAAAACGCAACCAGTTGCATCAACTAGAACGCGTGGGCGAAAAGCCGCCACTACAGTGCCACCTGTTCCCGTTGTGGAGGAGAATAATGTCCCCTCGAGTAATAAGCGTGGTACGAGAGGGCGGCCGAAGAAGGAAGCGGTTATAAATAAAGAGCAGCCTATAACTGTCACTGCAGAGGCTAATGAATTACCTACGAAAGCTGTCGAGGAAAAGTCAATTCTACCCACAATAGAGGTTGCGTTACCCCAAACAGAAGGTAGTACTGAGACACCGGCAGTCGTTTCAGCGCCAACAACACGGCGTGGCCGCCCAGCGCGAAACGCCAGCAATAATAATATTGTGAATAATAACAATAATAATATCAACAAAATTGCTGCTAGTTTGTCTGCGAAAGCAGGTGCCGCCGAAGAGGCAGCAGCGGCAGCAACTAAGAGTGGCGCTACAAGTACATCACCACTGTCTGGTAGTACACCGCCGGCGCCGCGAAGTTACAACAGAAAACGTAAGAATCAACAAGTTACGCAAGTGTTACAACCATCCGCAGAGGAAATTGAAGAGCAGCAACTAAGCGCCACACCCGCTAAAGTAGCAAGTATCGATTACACCGATTCGGCCACATCAAATGATCTGAACGCTTGTACTTCACCTCAGTTAACCGCACATTTGCAAACGTCATCGCTAACGCCAACCCTAGATCTACATGACAGCAACTCAAATTCCAATTCACTTACCCGTCCAGAAAGTGTAACACCAACATCACCGCCACGACTTGACTACAAAGTCAAAGATAAATTCAAGCGCACCCTAACGCTAGACAATCAAGTTAATTGCAATGCGGTCGTAGAATCGCCAACAGCTGGACTATTGGCGGAACATGTGGTCTACGGTGTCTGCAATGATGCGACTGTTGGTGCGAATGGTGAGGAAGAACCACAGCGTGGTTCGGTAAAACTTGTGATCTCAAAGAAAAAAGGCAGCATATTTAAGAGTCGTGCATTGGTGGCACAGCATCAGTCCGAGCAAACAGCGGCATCCAAACGACATCTCTACAAGCACAGTTGGGATGCCGAAGCGAACGTCAGCACAACCGACAATGCGAATACTTCACCGCTGCAGAAGAACGAAACAACTGCCGGGGCTGCGGTGTTGCGAACTGCTGCCGATGCTATCTTCGACGACTTTAGCGAAGATCTAAGTCCGAGCGCTGTGTCACGAGATAATAGTCCAGCACTTGGCAAGTTGACACGTGTGACTAAAGCCAATAATGCACAAATACGATCAAACAGCCCCTACGATATGGATATTGATGGACAGAGTGATACCGTTACCAGCGTAAAAGTCGATCGCAAAGCTAAAGGATTTTACACGGTCGTTCGTAATGTTAAGACAGCGCATCAAATTCAGGAGATTGGTGAATACCAAGAGATGGACGATGATGTCGAGTACATACTTGATGCACTGCAACCGCACAATCCAACACCAACCCGCTGCCTGTCAGCTCTGCAATTAGCCTCTAAATGTATGATACCAACTTTCCGTATGCACGTGCGGGCACATGGCATAGTGACCAAGTTCTTCAAGGTAAGCATATATTATTTTGATAGCAAGTTAGATCTTTTAGAGAAACTTCGCTCTACAAACATTTTGAATTTCTCTTCTCAATTAGGCACTCTCAGATGCTAATACCGATCAGAGCTTAGGCCTCTGTACATCAGCAATTATGTTTATCCTCTCTCAAGAAGGTCTAAATATGGATCTGGATCGTGATTCGCTAGAATTAATGATGAATTTACTCGAATCGGAAATTGTTGCAGCACCCTCGGATCGCGCTAATTACGAGCGAAATCGTCAAAAAGTACGTGAACTTTGTGAAGAAATAAAATCTCAAGGTAAAGCCGCACACCTCAATGTGGACACACTCACAGTTGGCACATTGGCGATGGAAACTCTACTATCATTGACCTCCAAGCGTGCTGGTGATTGGTTTAAGGAAGAGCTGCGCTCACTTGGTGGTCTCGAGCATATCATCAAAACCATTTCGGATAATTGTCGTCCAGTTATAGAGTGCAGTAATGGTGCCACACATATCCATTGGACACAATCACTGCTCGATAATATGCAAACAGTCGAGCGTTGTTTGCGTGTGCTGGAGAATGTAACGCAGTTGAATGAAGAGAATCAACGCTATGTGTTGACGTATGGCCAAGGTGCAGCGATACATACGTTATGTTCACTTTTCACCCTGTGTGATCGTGAAATTATGCATCACGCAGCCGACTCAGCGGAACATGCTGCCAAAGATAGTCCTGGTACAGTGATGCGTGAGCTACTCTTTCCGCTTCTCAAAGTGCTCATCAATTTAACCCATAACTTCAATCCGGTAAAAGCTTTGGGGGCCGAAATGCTAGGCCAACGCAATGCTGTTATCGAAACCAGCTTCCGCCTGTTATTGCAGGCACCCAACTACATTCCCGAACGTTGTGTCTTTGAGCTAAGTATACTGGTGAGTTTAATGTTTTTGAGTTTTTTAATAAAATCGTAATTAATTGTATAAAAATTTAACAATCAGGTGCTGCTGCTGCTTATCAATCTCACCATGTATACGATACCTAATCGCGTGGCGATTATGAAGTCATATGCGCCACCCGAATACAGTAGTCATCAACATAATAAGGTGACTGCCGTGCAAGCTGTGATGGAATATTTCTATAGATGCGAAGAATTGGCTAGGTAATTTGAGCTCACTTATTTTCATATATGTAATTATTATTACTATTTTTTTTAATAATTATTATTCTTTACTTTAAAATAGATTGGTCGAAAAGAATACAGATGCCATTTTGGATAGTACTGATAAGAATAAAAAGAAACAAGAAGAAGTGGATGAAACTGTAAATAATTGTAAGTAAAAGAGTACTTGTGGTTAATTGTGCAAATAAAAAGCAATTTAAAATTCGGGATGATACTACCTAATACAAAAAATATAATTAATTATTTGACGAAAAGATTTTTTACATTTACTTTATTTTTGTGCTACCGATTCAATTAGAAATAATTTTTAAACTTTCTAAAATTAAAAAAATATATTACAAAAAATACAAAACCTTACAATTGTAAAAAAAGTAAGAATAATAAAACATTCTTACAAAAAAGCTTAAGAATTTCCATTGAATTTTTTGAAATATAATTGAAATGAAATTATTTTTAGCCGGATTAGCATTTTTTTTTATAAAAAAAAAAAAATGAAATATTTTTGAAGTGACAATATCTGAAGTTATAATGAAAATAAAATATAATGTCAAAAAATTTTTTCTGTCAATTTTATATTGAGTGAAACTAGCTTCCTTTTTTGTATCATGGTGAAACTAAAAACTCGAAAATTAAATTTTTTAGTGTTTATTATTTTTTTTTTTTTGTTATTTTTTATTAATTATTTTTTATATTTTTATTTGTATATTTTGTTTTATTTTATTTTTAAAATTGTTTGTTTTTTTGTATTATTTTCTTTTTTTTTTAATTTTTTTTGTATTATATTTAATATTTATTTTTTGTATTTAGTTTTTTTTTACATTTTATGTTTATTTTATGTTTTCTTGAATTTATTTTTATGTTTTGATTTTATTTAAAGTTTTTATACATATTTATTATTTTTATTTATTTATTTATTTTAATTTTTTATTTATTTATTATGATCTTTTTTTATTTATTTTTTTTTTATATTTATTTTTTTTTTATATTTATTTTTTTTTTTTATATTTATTTTTTTTTTATATTTATTTTGTTTTTTATATATTTTTTTTTATATATTTTGTTTTTTTTTTTATATATTTTGTTTTTTTATTTATTTAGTTTTTTACTTATTTATTTTATTTTTTTTTTATTCAGTTATCATATAAATTTTATTTATTTTTGTTTACGTATGTATATATTTTCTTTATTTGTTTATATTATATTTTTTATCTATCTTAATATTTATTTATTATATTTATTTGGTTCTTTATTTATATTTTATGTTTATTTAGTGTATTATGTATAATTTTTATTTTTTTTTTATCTATTTTATTGTTTATTTAATTGTTATTATTTATTTATAATTTGTTAATTTTATTTCTTATTTGTCTTTTAATTTTTTATTTATCTATTTAATTTGTTTTTTTTTTTTTTTTTATAACTATATAGGATTTTTTCTATTTTCATTTACATAAATATTTGATTTATTTGTTATATTTATTGTTATTGTGATGATTTATTTATTATTATTTATTGTTTTTATTTATTTATATTTTTATTTACTTATTTAAATTTTATATTTATTTTGTTTATTTAATATAATTTTAATTTTTATTCAGCTATGTTTTACATATTTTTATTTATATATGTATATATTTTCTTTATTTGTTAAATTTTTTTTTTTTTTCTATTTTATTATTTGTTTGTTTTATTATTTATTATTATTATTTTTTTACTGTTACTATTTATTTATTTATATTTTTTATTAGTTTATAATTTGTTATATTTTTGTATTATTTTAATTTATTTATTATAGTTTTTTATTAGTTTTAAAATATTTATATTAATTTAAATTTTTGATTATATTTTATTAATTAATTTTTTTATTTATTATATTTTATTTGTCTTTTACATTCTAATTACCAAAGACTAACTCGTTACTTTTAATTTCATTCTACAGTACTGAAAAACTCTGGCCATCACATGGAGCATACTATTAAGGGCAGTTATGCAGCCCTGCTAATTGGTCATTTGATCACGGACAATGAGGAGTACGAAACGCTGGTGCGTAAACATTTACGTGGAAATGGTTTTAAGGAAATTGTTAGTGTATTGGAGAAATACTACACTTTTATGGATCTGACATGTGTAAGTATAAACGTGCCATTTTTTCTTTTATATTTCTGCTAAATTTCAATTAATTTATTTTATAACATCTCCGAATATCAAATAGTCGGAAGCTTCCGCAGTAGCGCACATCAAATCGACAAAGAAATTAATTGACTACTTCAAGAAACGTGATTTAGTATATGAAATGAACGAAACTGATGACTGTGCGCTTCCGTTGAATTTAGAAACACATCACGCTTCAACATCTGCTGCCAATACAAATACCAATAATCGTATTGACCTTATGGGTAATGGCGATAGTCCACCAACAGGGACCACAACAACACGTAGCAGTACACAACGCGTTTATAAAAGCTATAGTCAAAGATAATCACTAGACGAATTTGTTATTTTACACCTACACCACACAGTAGTGATGCTACAGTAGTAGTAGTAGCAGTAGCAATATGCTGTATATTAATTTTGATAAAAAGATTTATGATTTATGCATTGCTAAAAAATGAAAAAAAAAACACATTAATATCAATTTTCCAAAACATTTATTGTATTTTAAGCTATTTCTTTCGTACACAATTAATTAATAATCTTTCTTTTGCTACAACAATAGTAACATGCTTTGTTTAGCTTGTGTGTGAACAATGTGTAATTTTAGGATTTATATTGAGCAATTTTCAATTTATTTAAATTTACTGTTATAATAATGCAATCTTTTGGTATATATAAATTTTTAAACACTTAAAAGCTAAATATATATATGTATGTATATTTAAATAGTCTTAAGTTAAGAAATGGAAAGAGTCAGTCGGTTACTGCAATTTTTTTTCTCAATTATAATTAATTATTATGATTTTCGTACAGTAAGTATTACAATTATACTCATTTATGTGCAAGATATACGTTAACGACAAATACATTTATATTACATATAAATATGTTTTGCGGATAAGAAAGACACGAACAAAAAAGTAAAAAAAAAAAACTGACTAAAACGTTGAAAGAAGATTATTTAAAGATGCAAATGGTAAATGTGTCTGCCTATCTAACATTTGAAATAACTGTAATTTGTAATTCTAAATGTAATTGTACTTTTTAAGCAATATTATTATTATTATTATTAAATTGTATTGTATTTCACTGTAAATAACATAGAAATTGGATATTTCATATTGGATTTTATTTTAATGCTAAAGCGCACTCCACAAGTGCACACCCCCCTCCCCGACACACACACACACATACAGAGACACTTGTATGCATATATTTACCTTACTTATACATATATAGACCGTTAACGTTTGTTTTTGTTAAAACATTCGTAATTGTATTGTAGTTTAAATTATGTTGCGCGCAACTATTACGTATATATAATATGTATGTATGTTGTATGTTTGTGTGAAGAGGAAAATTTAGTGTTGTATGTTGACAAAACTGTAAACAAAATAACAAAACAAATGTGACAAAAAACCAACAACTATAATACATGAAAATCACAAAAAAAAAAAAAAGAATTCACTTAAAATGGTCATGTGCGTGTGTTTTTAGGAACAAAAAAAAAAGTGTGTGAAATTTGCATTGGGCGCAACAATTTAGGCTACAAAAAATCTAAAAAAAGCAAAATTGGTTAAATATACATACATACATTAAAAAAAACCTTATTAGAATGTAACATAACACTAATGAGAGCTGAATGTAATAAAAAAGAAACAAAAAAAAATATCACACATACACACACACACACACACACAACAAAAAAACGAAAATAATTTAGTATTTAGGCAAAGACAAGAAATTCGTAAAATTTAGATTCATAAAAATCATAAAACACAAATTCTACATACTAAAATACATACATACATTTTTGGAACAAAACATACATACAATATATATATATATATAAAGATATATATAAATACATATAAATATATTTATTTTATGTTTTGAGAAATTTGGCATTAAAATTGCAAATGGAAGTAAATAAATAAGATTGTTTATTTAAATAAAAGCGTTGAGTTTGAAATTTGTTAACAAAGTTAAACTACACCTCAAGCTCACATTCACATAACAAGTTTAGCATAGACCTATGGAAATAACCTGTCGATCTAAATGGCTGAAATCCCTTGGCTGGATAAAACCGATACGTAAAACCGGCTGGCGGCAGACTATCCCGCCAAGATTTTTCTTTGATCGCTCTAGAAATACCCGATATGTGGAAACTGGTATGTATAGTGGACCCAGTTCCTAAACCGAGAAAATCGGTGAATAAAGGAGAGTCTTATCTCTTCTTTGAGCTGTCCTCTCGTCCTTGGCATACACCATTTGAGTCCTGCAGCACATCAGCATGGTTTACCGCCAAAAACGATATAATGAATGGCGCGTTAATATTGATTCGGCTATAATCGCGTAAGCGATGCTAACGCCAATAAAGAAGAGGAAGAGGTCCATGACCTCAGTCAAAACCGACCTTGCGCGCTTACTCCTCTATTAGCACTGAATCTGTCATTAGCTTTTAAGGATTTCTCATTAAGAGGCCGACCATCTTAGTGGTCGACAATCATCGGTAGAGCTTTAAGGTCAAACTTCTAAGCCCTGTTATAGTAAGCAAAAGGTCCCGCAAGGTGGTGTCTGGTCTCCTCGTCTCGCTTCTGTTTAATATTTAAGTACATTTCGAAGCTTTGTTTTCTACCAGAGGGCGTTTATTTTATCTCATATATCTATGACGGTACTGGCATCGGACCAGGACATTGATTATCTTTGTTTGAAAGATTAAAGTTTTGTACTTCGCAAATACACGACAACTACAATGGCAACCAGCAAAATCTTTCTTCTGCTGGACGAAGCAGTACCGGCTCGAACTTGATATATATGTAAGTCAAGGACGTAAAAATTTCGACAATAAATACCGCTGACAGTTAGCACTCCTTCACTCCGAATACGCCTGCAATTTCTACTAGAAAAACATACGCATCCAAATCCTCCAACCGTTAGATGGTAGCACCCGGAGAAAACGAAAACAAACGTTGCTCGCAACATACAAGGCCATACGTCAGCTGGTCGTAAGTTACTCTGCTCCGATCTGTACGCCGCCAACTAGCGATTCCGACGCACATAGACCTACTTAAAGCCGAGCCTCCTACCTTAAACATCAGCAGGGGAGTACCTCACTACAACGAATCCACACAACGATTTAGACAAGAGTCGCTAGACAAGAGGATGTGTTGACATACTTTAAACGCCATTCCCCCCCACCTAAGGTTACTGACGCCCATCTTATGAAAGGAACACATCTCAATCAAGTTCTTACCCAAACCAATAGACTTTTGCATAGATCGTTGATCATTTAACTGTGATGAAGTTCGAATAGGTATTGGCATTTGAAAAGCAATAAAAAAAAGAGAAAGATGATGAATGCATTCTCTATTCAGAATATAATCGGATAATCATATCTTATTAATGTAGCATCAAGTTTGATAGATCAAACTTTACTATGCGCAAAGCCTTAGAAAATACCTGGGGAGGTGGATCGACAGCTCCGTGGCTTTGAAATGCCTTAAAAGTACCGTGTAAGTTGGGAAGGACCGATACAAGATCAGTAAAACGTCTACAGATCGTTAGATGCTGGACGAGGCTTTAGATGAGTCGTCTCTCGTGTTGGTCTAATACCAACTTGTTAAGCAAAAGGGAAATTCCTATCTTTAATTGCTCGTCCTTATACAACGCTGTTAGAGTCTTCGTTCTCAACTAACACTGCTTTTTGATGAGCCCTGTGAATGTCCATAATGTGATATACAATCTCTAGACGGATAAACGGAAATTACTGGAAGAGTAAAGCCTTGGCTGGAAAATATATCAGCTATCTCTCGCAAGAATTCGTTTTAAGCTCTCATTACAGCGGACATCTACACCTCGTTTTGCCAACCAGTAAGAACTCTCTGATCCGGCATTGAAAGTTATTTTAAAAATTTTTTCGTGTTTAATAAATCCCCTATATCAAAATAGCGTACCGTTAAAAATTCAAAATTACCGACACGACATGTGGCAACCTCAGTGCAATATGATAATCAGCTGTTCACTTTGGCATTTCATAACCACAAAGAAATAACTACACGCGAAATACTATTTTATAGACTTTTTCTGCGAGTTTTCTAAAAATAATTAATTAAAATAAATTAAACACAATACTTTAAGACAATAGACGCAGGTACAAAATGGTGGAAGCAGGTCAAAATGCCGCAATCGACAACTTGGATAAGGATCAAATGAAAACAGTGAGTTTGCATAATGAGCACCAAAAATGTTGTAATGCTTACAAATGAATTCAAATGATATTTCTTTAAAATTACAGTTCTCCGATTTTCTGATGTCCTATAATAAATTATCCGAAATGTGTTTCACAGATTGTATACGCGATTTTACTACGCGTGTGGTGAAAGACAATGAGGTATGTAATCTATACTTACCGGCTGCATTTGTTGTTTACTTTGTGTTATTAAATTCTTCTATTCATAGGAGCGCTGTGCACTCAATTGTATGGAAAAGTACCTGAAAATGAATCAACGTGTTTCACAACGCTTCCAAGAGTTCCAAATGATTGCCAACGAAAATGCTTTAGCAATGGCGCAAAAATCTGGGAGACTTTAACATGTTGCTGTGCGACAATTGTATTCACGATAAGCACAATAAATTGTGTATTGTTCATTTAGTAAGTCCTAAGTACTTGCGAATGCATTTCCTCAGCAGCAAACATTTAGATTTACTAACTTCACTATTTTATTGTTTGATAAAAGTAAAAAATAATGAACTTGTTTTGAGTTTCTTATGTTTTCAACAAAAAATATAGGAAATACATTTAAATTTAAAAAGTTTTTATTTAATAAACGAAAGTTTTGTTAAAGTGTAAAGTAGGCGAAATATTGAAAACCCTAAATTTATAGTTTTTCAATTCATTGAAAATAATTTTGAGACCGGAAAACATAAAAAAAGCACATGAGCTTTTTAAAAAATCGATATCATAATTTCTAAGCATATACAATTATCTTCTACATGAAAAATTGTTATGACAAACTACTGTTAATGGGATATGCGCGACTACTTTTGAAAATCTTTTATACATAAATATGTTACTTCAGATTGGTGCTAGGGCAATGTGGAATTTAGTGCGCAAGTAAAGCATTCGTACGTTAATTTCAATAATTAGTATATTTTTAAATCTTGAATGACGGATACTTGGTGCGCTCGTACGTTCATACCGACATTTACCATATTTTAATCGTTCAACTCCATAACAAAATATTTAATAAATAAAATTACTTTGCTTGAGACGATGAACGCCAGAGTTCAGTGCCCTGATAAGCGGGCGCAAGTTTTTTTAACTTCTTATTTGGCATTTTATTTTCTTTCAAATTGTTTATGTCATATAATAAGTGATTTAAATTACTAATTAAGAGAACTTAAACGGGCATGTAGAGTAATTACATGCCAAATTAACTAAAGATATCTTAATAATTATGATAATGTTAGGATATAGACAAGTTGTGAACGCCTCTTAATATGTATATGTAGAAAATATGTTCTTAGTTTCTCCTAACAAAGACCAAAATGGGGGATAAAACAACCAAATATTTATATATTTTTATGTATCTCTTAGAAAATGTTATAGGAAAATATTGAGATTTTAACGTATTGTTGACCAAGGGACGCTAACTTAATATGCTATAAATGTAACATTTGGTAAAAGTTGAATACTAAAGAAAAGTACTTATAACTAGAAGTGCTATGTTACTACTAGTATAGCTGACTTAGCAGCGGACTCGATGTGGACTTCGTAGGCGATGATAAATATATGGAAATTCCCTAAAATTATTATTTAATTCAATGAATGGTACCACTTTCACCTTGGAATCCCTCTGTTTCATTTATAAGTGCGTACTCAAGAATGACACGTCCTTCCTTGTATCTGTGATATACATAAGAAGAAAAAAAAAACATTTTTAATATACATAACAGCAACGGATGTTATGTGCCCTATGTAACTTACTTTTGTGCATCTTCGGTGGCATATTCATACATCCAGCCTAACTTGGCATCGCAACTCTTGCACATTACATCGCGAACCATGTGCCGACCTGTGAGCATAACCCGCTCCTGTACATTACTAAACTTCAAGTTAACTACTCGTTTAAAAAGATAAGCACGACCTGTAAATACACAAAAAAAAATATATATATATATATTTACAAAATCACGAAAGGAATTTGTACATACATTTTGTGATAAGTAATCAGTGCAATTAATCACAGTCTGACGCAAACGACACGACTACGCTGGGTGATATTGCTTTAGCATATAAAATGAAATCAAATAAAAATGTAGTTTTACTTACCCGTTGCACCTGTAAAACGTGTACTAATCAATTGACTGCGATTTGTAAGATTTGTTTGGCACTGTGCACAATTGAACAGTTTCGAGCCGCCAATATGCTCGAGGAAAATGCGTCCCATATTTGGTATACGTTAAAAAAAAGTTCTTTTATTTAATTTCTTTCTTTTATACAGAAGTAGGTCTCTGTGATTACTATTTTTATGTCTATTTCGTTGGCTAATCAAATTGATAAAAATATTTTCTTCGCACTTAACCACAAGTTCGTAATGTTTTAATTGCAGTTGATTCCACAATATGTATCCCCAAGTTGTATTCACAAGTCAATTCTGTAGGGAAACATAGAAAATTTGTTCCATATTAGGAATGAAAAGAATGCATAAAACGCAATGAAAATCAAATTCTTTGTTGGCAAATTTGATGATTTGTTCTTTTATTTTTACTACACTTTCTTCCTATGCACTTTTCTATGCAGCTAATTTTATTTACTTTACTGCATTAAGTACCTTTTATCGCGTGACTTTGATTTTTTTCTATTACGTTTCAGTTATATTTTCAACTTTCCCGATATTTATCCCTTCCTTTTGTGTCGTAATTTTCAAGTGCAATTCGAATTTATTTTGACTCTTTCTGCATTCTCTTGTTTAGGCAATAAATGAACGGTAAATATACATGAAGTTAGCTGTTATACAATTAAGTGCTGCCGGCTTGGCAAGATTAGACGACTGCAAACTTCTTTAATAAAAGCAAAGAACGTAACTAGGTAAAAACCGTAAACAAGTAAGAAGCGACAAGACTCATACGGTCTTTGTGCAATTGCGGCATTTGTGTCTGCTTCACACCATTTTGTTTAACATCGAACACGGTTAAGTGGAGAGATATAAGCTCAATTAGATTTTAATTCAAGTATTTGCATGCGATGGAAACGATAAAGACCAATGGCAATATAAGAAGGGTTAGAAATGTAGCTTCAATTGTAATTTTATTTTTAATTTTTTCTTTATTAAAGTAGTTTTTTTATGTAATTTTTTTATTTTATTTTTTCTTTATTAAAGTAGTTTTTTTATGTAATATATTTCAATTCATAGTGAATTGTTATAAGATTCAATATTGCATAATTAGAACTAAACCTTCATGCCTCTTCCTATTCACAAGCATTATTTGGATGTACCTGAAAGCTTCATCACCGTATAGTACCCTCCAAGCAACCCTGCTTTTCGACAATGTCAATCTCTTTTGACAGTTCAATCAAGCACAACAAGCTTCACTTTTTATTCTTTCTTTCCGGTTTAGGATTTTGTCAAGTGTGCTTGTTCTCGATTTCGAGCTAAGGCCAAATTTTATAAAAAATTACCAATTTTTGGCGACTTGCACCAATAATAATTTAATTACTTCATAACTATGTCTACAAAAGCTGAACTTGCTTGCGTTTACGCTGCTCTCGTTTTGGTTGATGATGACATCGCTGTTACTGTAAGTGAACTTATTTCTTATTTGTGACAAAGTGTATTGAAATTGTAAATGAATGAATGAAAACTTTCCAAATCTAAGAATATTTTTGCAATCACATTATTATGTTTACCATTTTATACCTTTGTACTTCTGTTAACATATTATTGCGTCGAAATGTGTACTTATGTTGTGTTTATGTCTCTTATAGGGTGAGAAAATCACCACCATCCTGAAGGCCGCCAGTGTTGATGTTGAACCCTACTGGCCCGGTTTGTTCGCCAAGGCTTTGGAAGGTATCAACGTTAAGGACTTGATCACCAACATTGGTTCCGGTGTCGGTGCTGCTGCCCCATCTGGTGGTGCTGCGCCAGCTGGCGGAGATGCTGCACCAGCTGAGGCCAAGAAGGAAGAGAAGAAGAAGGAGGAAGAACCAGAGGAGTCCGATGATGACATGGGTTTCGGTCTCTTCGATTAAGTTAAACGTTTTGTAGTTTTTATAAAAACTTTTGAAGTGTTGTAATGACAAAGTTTTACAATTACAATTGTATACTGAGTATATAAAACGTGAAATTTGAAGTGTATTATTAACTGAAATGTTATACATAAGTAATTCCATTAAATGGACGGTGAGAGAATAGGATGAATTTACACAAATGAGCTAGCGTGATAATAAGTACGTAGTTTCTTGGTGCCTTAAAAAATTTCTGGCAACGGTTTTTTGTGAAAAGCAAAGGTGCATTTATGTATGTGCTGTTGAAACTTTTCCTCATTACTTTTAGTTTAATACATAGTAATGCTACTGTGCCTATTCTACATCGCAAATTGTTGATATAATCGTTTGTTGGTCCGTTTTGTTTATATTTTAGCATTCGACTCATGATTTCCTGATCACGCTGGTCTGTGATACCACTGACAGTCATCACATATAGTTTGCTACAGACGTATTCGAATACAAGCAGCAAGAACATGACTAAACACAGTTTCGATGCAACAATATCTCACCGATGGGGGATTGGCTTAAGTGAAGGGGCCTAAACCTCCTGAGGATTAAAGAAAATGCCCAATTTAATTATTAATATATTTCTTCGACCAAATGCTATAAATAAAACTTAAATATATATAGTAATGAATACAATAAAAAGAAGGTCCGGCATATAATTAGCTCTATCGATAGTCAGAGGTGTAGGAATGGGAGGGAGGGAAATATAGTCCATAGTCTTTTTGCATTGCAGTTGGTCTCGCAGGTACAAAATTTTAACCAGAGAGGTAGGAAAGAGGGCATGATTCGTTGATTTCGTGCGCACAACTCGATTATTATCCGCCCAGGGATTGTCACTACCGCAAAGTTCAACAAAAAGTTCTTTCGAGAATACTTTTGCGGTTACAACAAAAACAGCAACATGAGCTCCTGCACGAAATTTACCACGGCTTTTCACGACAATTCAGCAATACATACAACAACCGCTGGACAGGACGGCGTACCGACAAGCACTGAACGCCATTCACCAGGAGTCAGTCAGCACCTTCAAGGACTCCTTTCCAGTGAGTGGCGTACTCGGAGAAATCCCACCCATAGCAGACAACGAGCTCGAGCTGCCTCGAGATACCCGCGTGACCCTGACACAACTCAGGTCTGGATATTGTAGCAGGTTAAATTCCTACCTATCCACACTAGACCCCAGCATACCCAACGTATGCCCTGTATGTGGAGAGTCTACGCACGACACTAACCACCTCTTCACATGTCCCCTCAAACCCACTCATCTAACCCCCCTCTCCCTTTGGTCCAACCCCGTCGAAACAGCTTGTTTCCTGGACCTACCACTTGATGACCTCGGCGACTTAGACTGATCAAACCTGTGCCTAAGCGGAGTTAGCGAACCGCTACAATAACAACAACAATGACCCCTCATAAAAGTGTATCCACAAACCTAGCCCTTTGCTTTGAATCCCTCAAAATAACTCGTTTAGTGGAGAGCTCAAGCTCAATCTTTAGAAAACCATATTCGAGCGGCCTCTGAGTATTACAATACCACAGGCTGGTTGCTACTACAACGACAACATGTTAGATGGGCTGAAGCAAATTTTCGAATCTCCTCGTACGTCTCATAGGGCTACAGATGACAGCTGAGACAGCTGAGTAGGGTATAATCTCGTATTCTTCTAAATCCAATTTGGAAAATATAAATATGTATGGCACATGTATATATCTTACGCATTCATCATCTTCGTAATTAATAAATAAGAAATACTTATTTTCGTATGGGACCAAAAACTGTCTAAAACGGAAAATTTCGTTAAATGAAGCTCCCAAGCTCACGTATTTTACGTACTAAAGCAGTTGCAAAACCCTTTTTTCATGCGCTCTGGGTTGTGGATATTATCATCCACCATTCTTTGCTCCTCTACCAACTTACCCACCGTACTAACGTGGAGCCGGGTATAAAATATATCGAAAAGACACCGCCAGGCTACTTTTTATTGCCGTCAATTGTACATAAATGCGTACCATAAAGATAAGAGATACGGGTTAGGCGAAATGCATTTATCAGCCCGCGGCTGCCACATAATAACAATAAAATTGTTTAAACTATTTTCCAATAAACTTTAGTTCAAATTCAATAGTTTTATAGTTTGGATCTCTTGCAAGAGTTCTTTGTTACACATTAGAAAAGGAATTCAAAATGCGAGTGAGTAAATGAGTTTGAAGAGGGATTTGATGCCAAAAAAGCGAGGAGTAGGCTTTGAGTGGCTTAAATTAGGCAACAACCGCTGAGATACAGTTTCGAAGCTCTACAGTATGGTTTGAAAGATATTATTTTCGGTGCGCAAAGGCCATGCCTATAAAGAGAGTAGAGACAAGACTCCGGCTTAATATTTCGTCAATTTGCGTCTGGGACACGATAGGGGAATGAATCGAAATGTGACCATAAACGCTTGGAATGCTCTTTAGAGCGCTGCTCTCACTTCGATGTCAAGATTGTATTTGATGTTCGTGGACCTGACGCGGCAAGGCAGATGCCTAAATCAACTGCTTGACTGTCTTTGGATGTTAATCAGAGGTCAAATCGAGCATTAACAACAGCCAAAGAAACAGTCGATTTTCGAAGAGAGCAAACTGTAAACTTATGCGATGAACAGATCTTCGGCGGAAATAAAAAGGTCTTTGCATGGCTCGATGTTAAGATTTATCAATCCCCATCGTTTGATGAAGATATGATGAGCAGAAGCGAGAAGTGAATTGGATTAATAGTGAATTGGCAGTACACAAATCCAATGGAGGGTTCAAATACCGAATCGATCTGCTGACTGATGTTCAAAACTTATTGCAATAGCGGCCTACGAGTCCATGGTCTATTACGAGGCAATCGCTGTGATCATTCACATAAATGAAGCGATGAAGAGTTTGTTTTGAATTAGTTTCGTACGACCGTCTTTGAACAGGTTTTAATCGTCGAGGAGTAGATCCTCGCTACTATCTACCCAGAGAGTAAGTAGTTTCGCGCCACATCTAAATACCTAAATGTGTTCGTAAAGGGTTTTGAGCAGGAAAGGAAGTAGATCTTCACCTCCTTCTGATACCTAAAACAGTCTTTTCTTATTTCTGTAACTTCAAAGAAAGTCAAATCACACTACACTTGATGCACTAAAGAGATGATGCGGTGAGACTTTATTTGCTCACTTCGGCAGCGGGTACGGACGATATGATGTAGCCAGGAGATATATATTTGCTTGATCTCGAAGCGTTGAACCATTTTTTTGTCGTCGTCTCTCACAGTTTAGCGTCCGATCTTTGCAAAACAAGCTGCAACGTTAAAGGACAACTGCTACTAAACTCTGGAGAAATCGCAGTGAAGCACATGCCCAAATATCAAACTTTATGTCATTCTGGAAAGATGTAGGCCACCAAATCTCAGCTTACATTTTCACAATGTATTTTCAAACACAATTCCAGAGCATCGTAGGAGTAAACTCGGATGTTTTGAACCAAAGATCCATAACCATCTTTAACGATAGCTTCTTAATCGATGGTTGGGTGGTATCGTTTGCAATTGATTTGCGCAAGCGACTGCATGACTAATGCAGCGCATTTCAAGCATAAATAACTGCGAGGAAAGAAACTTTTCCGAGGTTCTTCAATCCGGCTTAAGATATCACAAGCACACCACCTCAAAAATGTCAATGAGATTAGGGAAAATATTAAAGAATATCTCGACAACCAAGTCGAACAGTCCTAACTACGATCAACTCTGTAGAGCTCTCTCAGATGCAGATGCTAGGGTAGACCTCCACCGGAAGGATCAGTGGTAGTTGGCTAAAGGAAACCACATACAACGTAAGCGGAAGGCTATGAAGTCTCTATTCCCTCTAATGCTGATCTCCTAATGATTCTAACCGCTGTTAAAACGTGACACTGTGTAATGGAGACTAGCGTAAGGTGGATAGGCAACATGTCTAAAGAAGAGAAAGAGTCGATACAGCACTAGCACTGCCAGTGTCTAACATTCAATGAGAGAGAATTTTTTCACAGGCCCACCATTGGTGTCACAATGGATCAGCTGGCCTTTGAGCGCTTCATCAGAGTTCGGTAATCAGGCCATTATGCAACCATGTGTGACTGAGCTTCCTGTTGTTCACTGCTGGGCTGTTGGTAGAGTGTGGGATTCACCACATAAAATATTAGCACTTTATTTTTGAAAGAACTTGAACATGAACTATTTACTTCTATATTTTTGTTATTTTTTCCAGTCCATTTTCCGTCTACTTCTTTTGCATGGAATCTTATCAGTTGCCGTAAGTACTTTCTCTAATAAAATAAAATTAAATTAATTTACGGTTTTATACCTTTCGTAAGTAGGGAGCGCTTTATCGGAGGAAAGGTGGTCCTATTTTTAAGTCCGTTAGAACGTAAGCTAGTCCACGCCATCTTTCAGTTAATTGAGGCATCAATTGTCTCGAGCTTATCTGTTCAGCCAAGCGACTTTACATAACCCTACAGTAAACAGTCTAACGGTGTTAAATCGCACGATCTGGGAGGACACGCGTCAGGCCCACGATGCCATTTAATTCAATAAATTCATTCTTTCGTAGACTTTATGGCTTATAGTGCCGCCTTGTTGGAACGAAAGGTCGTCCACATCAACATCCTACTACATAGCCACTACAAAGTCATTAACCATAGCTCTATAGCGTTCCCCATTGACTGCAAAATTATGGACGGCTTCATTTTTGCAGAAATATCGACCAAAAGGAAATCCCCACTGCCCACAGTGTACACCAAAGAGTGACTTTTTGATGATGTGACGGCGTCTCAGTAATGGCTCGTCCAACCCAAAGCAAGTTTTAGCACTGAAAAAAATTTCTCGTGAGAATCGGGATCGATAACCATTCTGTTTTAGGCCCATTCACATCGTTCGACTTTAGTTTTTGCACCAGCTGGATTTTGTAAGTCCCAAAAAACAAGTTCCTTCTGAAAACTTTTCCATGAAGTTGTTGGACACAGATTCAATTATAGCGCGCGATGGCGAATAGACTCATTTGGGTCTAATTCGATATCATGCTCTACAACAAGAATAGCACCTTCGGTGTACACTTTACACTTTACGGCGTCATTGAAGATGCACATTATCAGCTAAATGGTCGAATTTGCGACTTTGCTGGGCGATTAGGTCGAAACACTGTGGATGCAATGTGACGTGTGAGCCAAGCCTTTAGTTTGGTCCAAAACTTATACGATTTACAAAGGTCGTCCCCGAGCAAATCAAATCTAGTGTAATACAAGTGAAAATCGTAGAAAGACTTTAGCTGCCAGTTTGAATGAGTCGGGCCAGCCCCTCCTCCCTTAAGTGGTATGCTCTTCATGCTTTTTCCAAAAAATGGAAGTTAGTCCAAGCCTTCGTCGAACGGCCGATGAATTCTAATAATGAGCTTTAATTTCATATCAGAAATACACTCGAAGGGCTTGGCATTCTCAGCCGAGAGGTGACGGCAATTTGAGCAACTAATTTTTTAATTATTTTTCGATAATTCTGAAAGTTAGTCTGCCCAGAACTCGAACTTATGAACCTCAATGTGGCGGTACGCATAGCTAAACTCGGCTGTCATAGCTTCCAGACAACCGATTTTGCGCCTAAAATAAGCTGCTCTCCCTTAGGGAAGGGTATAAAACCGTCGTTTTTATTTTAAATTCGTCCATTTATTTTTAATTAAACTTAATTTTATGCTCAAAATACTTTTCAAAAAAACAGAAAAAATACTTAAAATACTTAATGTGTTTGTTTGATCGTTTGTTTTGGAAAAATTTCAGGTGTCAGAACAAATTTTAAGAAAAAAAAAAAAATAAAATTTTGTTGTTTTGTAAAATTTTTTCGGACAAATTTTAGAGATCCCAACGAAATTCCTCCAATAACCAGACTAACAATGTCTTTACATCTTTGTCCCTGCCAGCTAAGCACGGAACCCATTGTGCTCGTGCACGGCGGTGCGGGTAACATCAACGATGCCCAAGTACCGGTGGCTATGTATGGCGTCAAGACGGCCGCACGCGTCGGTTATGAGACACTCAAATGTGGTGGTAGCGTATTGGATGCCGTACAGGAGGCGGTACGCTCAATGGAACTGAATCCACAATTCAATGCCGGCTATGGTGCAGTTCTCACCTGGGAGGGCAAAGTAGAAATGGATGCAGCTATTATGAATGTTGTAGACTTGAACGCGGGTTGCGTATCGGTTGTGCGGGATATTTATCATCCTATCGATTTGGCGCGTCGTGTTATGGAAAAGACTCGTCACAAATTCCTCTCAGGCGAGGGAGCAATGCTTTTTGCCAATGAAGAGAACTTCGAAATATTACCCGAAGGCGCTTTGGTCACAAATAAATCACAGCAAGCACTTGAAGATTACAAGAACAGTTTGAATGTAACAACACAGCCATTGTGCTGCAGCGACTCGAATGTTGGCTTATGCAATTGTGACATACCACAAGCCCTATCATATTCTGTTTTGAATGATTTTCTACGTGAGTTTGGCTCCCAGGGCACAGTGGGTGCTGTGGCTATCGATGAACTGGGTAATTTAGCTGCTGCTACATCTACTGGTGGTATAACTGGTAAAATGCCTGGACGGGTTGGCGATTCACCAATATTGGGCGCGGGTACGTATGCTGATAATGAAGTGGGCGCCATATCGGTCACGGGTCACGGCGAGACCATAATGCGTTATAATGTGGCTTCACGCATTTTGGGTTTAATCAAATATGAGAATATGACGGCTGAAGAGGCGTCCGCAAAGGTCTTGAATGACATGACAGAGCGTTTCGAGCAGAGTGCCGGCGTAATTAGTATCGATAAGAGTGGCACGGTGGGCATCAACTTTACATCGAAGCGCATGAGTTGGGCTTATCAACGCGGTGAGGAGCTGCATTACGGCGCCGATCGTGACGAAGATAATGTAGATATAGTTGGACAGCCGCGTCTCAATGCTCTGGACTTGTGCGTTTAAGATTTGCGTTTAAGCGGCTGTTGTTGTGTGTGAGACGTCTGGTTTTTTGTGTAAATGCTAAATTTCAAGTAATAAAAATTAGTTTAAATGTAAATTTCGCATTCTGGCTTTTTGTGGTTTTGAAAGAGTGATAAAAGAGCTTTTATTGACTATCTGTCGATATCTATTACACTCTGCCGCCCAATCACTCCTTTTCGTTGTTTGGTGGCAATAAGAAAGACCAAGTACAGCCAAACCCTTCTCCAACTTATCTTTCCAACGGAGTGGAGGTCTTCTTTGCTCCTCCTTTGCTTCCATCAGCGGGTACTGACTAAGCGAGCATAGGCAGTGCCTCTTTATTCACTGAAGTACTGCGGCCACGGTAGGCAAGTGCCTAGCATTCCTGGTATTACCAACATCCCTTTATTATAGAAAATTAATTGAAATAAAAAATTTAGTTAAATTTTCTAATTGCGGTTGCTCCTCGGCAGGGAATGTCAACTCCTCCGAGTTTATTTCTGACATGAAAATCAAAAGTTCCTCATAAAAAGCCATCGTTTTGGAAACTTTTCTCTCGAAAACTCTAAGCATCAAGCACCATAAAGCAGGACGCGACTAATGAGCGATCTGTAAAGTTTGTTTTTTTTTTCATCAAGAAAAAACTTTACTTGTCGAGTGCTTGCTGAATTCAAAAGAGTCATTTGGCCGGAAATTTCGTTTCGTACCGAACGGCTCGAAGAGGTTCTTCGCGATTTTGACAGTGCGTTTCTATGTTGTTTAAGGTCAACTTATATGTGAGAATACTAAATGCATGGAACTTTTCTTCCATTGTCATCGATTAGGAAAAAGATTTCGCCATCTGCTGGTATTTCAGGAAGTGTTCCCTTCATAAACTGCGTATATGCTCCGGCCTTGCCCATGCAGTTTATAAAGTATGCATGTCGGGAGAGACGACTAAATATCAATAGTACCCGTGACTGTCAGGTCTTTGTATTGGAAATATTCGAATTTCTCAGACATGAAACCTTCAGGAGCTAATTTTTCATAAAATTTTCGAGCACTACTCCTGTCGACCAGCACTTCATTTATACCTAATTTGATATTTTCTTGGAGAATATTGTAGCAAAGCAGATGGCTTACTCGTAGTTCTGGGCCCATTGATGCAAGCGAATAGCGTTGCGTTAGGTGAAGTGTACAGAGTTCGATTAGTGTTGGAAATAACGTTAGAGTTAGACGCTTTTGAGAAACAAGGGGATTAACAAAAGTTCGGTCAGTTGGTGAGCTTCAATTTTTTTTTTTGTGAAATCTCAAAATACCCAATCCTTTACAATTCCTTTATCAGTCTTCCTTTCAAATTTTAGAATGATCGGCTAAAATGTAAGCGTGTAAACGTAAGAAAGCTGAGGATAGGTAGACGAAATTCCATCACCAACGCAAACAGAAAACCGACATGAAGTTCTCTTTGGGTTTTGGTCTAATTTACTGCCACTACAAATATTCAATGAATGCCAAATTGTACATGGAACGATTGCACCGTCTTTAAAGATTATTTCGAAGTGGTTCCGAAGATTCCAGATCGGACATTTTTCGTGGAGGACAAGCCCAGAGAGGGTTGACCAAAATTTTCCACTGATGACGTCACTGTAGCTCTGGTGAAGTACAAAATTGACGAAGACCCACGATTGTCAAATTAAATGAAGGCCAATGAATCGGGCTAATCTAAATTGTAGCTGCTATCCCATTGGAAGAAGGTAACTACAACATGGTACATCGAAGAGTGCTTACCAATAGTTTTCAAAAAATTGTTGGAAAACAGGAAGAAAGGGGAATTGTGGCGCTACTTTTTACATCATGACAACGCGCCATCCAACACTGCTGAAATAAAGAAGAATTTTAATGTGATCTTTGGGATCGAAGAAACACGTCCAGTAACATATACCTCGGGTACAGCACCTTGTGGTTTCTGGTTATTTCCAAAAATTAAAAAAACAAAAATTGAAAGGAAAGGTCTTTAGTAGCAACGAGGAGATAACGAATGCGGTTGATGCTGAACTTGATAGGTCAAAAAAGCAAGAATTTGAAGACTGTTTCCAAAATAGGATCTATAGGCCTAAGAAATGCATTGAGATCAATGGCGATTATGAAAAGAAGATAAAAAAGGTCAAAGATTACGAAAAAATACAAAAATAATTTTTTATTTGGTTTTTCTGGTCAACTTACCGAAGAGTTCGTATATGTAAATCACGATTTTACCGTTAATGTACAACATAAAAATAACTTTACCCAAACGAATGCGGACGAATGTAATTACTAATGACTTTTTAATTAATTTCACTTTCTTTATTTTCCTTTTAATTATTTTTACATACTAAATATTATGTTTTCTTCTTTTATTTTTATTTTTGTTAATTATAATAATTAATTATATGCTTGCATACAAATTATCAGCCATACGTACAAATTACATACACATTATCTACATTTACATACAAATACATAAAAGTAATTGTATATACATAATAAATGTATGTACATACATACTATGCATATAGTAACTAATACTTACATAATATAAATTCCATTTTCTTTTTTTAATTGCGTACGCACATCTGTATGCATTTTTATTAAGAGTGTGTATGTGTGTGTGTATGTATACAAAGTTTAGTTTAGTTTTTAACCCATGATAATTAGTTGGAAAATGACTTTTTATGAATTATGTGTTAATGTATGTATGTATATATGTATTTAGAAAACATGTGATGTGGTTATTTGTTTAAAATTTACATACATATATTTACATAGCTGCGCAGTCAAGCAAACTTATGAGTTTTTTACAAGAAACACACACCCTTCCTCTATATAGTATGTACATATTATATATACATATGTGTCTACCAAAAATATGTGCAAACTAAATTTGGTCTTCACTTTATCACTGCTACAAAAAATTATATAACATTGATCAGGGTTTTTTGTAAAAAGATTCTAATTTTCAGATGGTATCATTTCATGAAGTTAATTTTAATGATTTTTTCTTTATTTTATTTTCATTTATTTAATATTTTTTAATCGTAATTTAGTTAATTTTACTATATTTTCTTTTATATTTTTAATTTGAATTTAATTTGTTTTATTTTATTTTGTTTTATTTACATTCTTTTTTATGTTTAATTTAACTTTGTTTTATTTTGATTTATCATATTTTATTTTATCTGTTTTTTAATATTTATCTTTCTTAATTTTATTGGTATTATATTTTGATTAATTTTATTTTTATTTACTTGTTTTATTTTAGTTTATTTTATTTTTTTAATTTATTCTTATTTTTTTAATGTGCTTTATTTTTGATTTTTTTTAATTTGATTTTGTTTTAGTTTAGTTTAATTTATTGTATTTAATTTAATTAAATTTTAATTACCTTATTTTTCTACTTCCATTTTTTGTATTTCGAGTTAATTTATTTTGTAATTTCAATTTATAATTAATTATTATATTAATATTTTACTTTATTTCTTTTCTTTTGACTTATTTTATTTAAAGTTATTTTAGTAGAGTAGTTTTAAGTTGTTATTGTTAGTATATTTCTTCATTTTGCTTTATTTTATTTTAATTAGTTTATTGTTGTTTAATTTAATTTATTTTTGTTTAGTTTCATTTTATTTTATTTTATCTAGTTTTATTTAATTTTGCTTTATTTTATTTTAATTAAATTATAGTTTTTTTAATTTCATTTATTTTTGTTTAGTTTTTTATTTTATTTTGTTTTATTTAATTTTTTATTGCTTTGTTTTGTTTTATTATTTAATTTTGTTTTTTATGTATTTTAATTTAATATATGCTCTTTGATTTTATTTAATATAGGTATTTCATTAATTATTTTATTTTAATTAATTTTATTAAAAATTATTTTAATTTTATTTTGTTTCATTAAGTTTCATTTGTTTTTTTTATTTTATTTTATTTTATAGTACAATTTTTCTTTAACTTTCTGTGTTTTATTTTATTTTTTCTTTTTACATTCCTTTTGTTTTAGTATATAATTTAATTTTTTTTTTAATTTATTTTAAATAATTTATTTTTTTAACTATATTTTAGCTTGTTACATATAATTCAATTAAATTTATTACAGTTAGTTTTACATTTTTTTATGTTGTTGTAATAAATTTCAATTTTTATTTTAATTTAATTTATTTAATTTTATTTTGTTTTACTTCTCTTTTTATTGCTTTGTTTCATAATATTTTAATTTTTTTTTATTTAAATTCGTTCGTTTTTTTATTTTTTATTTACGTTGTTTTATTTTATCAATTTTGTTTAATTTTTTATTAATTTTGTCTTATTTTATTCATAAACATAATTGGCGCTTCCTAACCACTGAAGCGGCTTTCGGGTGAGTTCCTCCTCCAATTTGTGGTTTTTTGTCTTGATGTTTTCTCAACAAATAGAGGTACCTGCAGTTTATACCGCCTCGAACGACTAATGGAATATTTATGATGATCTTTTGATTTTCATGTTAGAAATACACTCAGAGGGGTTGACATTCCCTGCCGAGGAGCGACCGCAATTAGAAAATTTAACTTAATTTTTTATTTAAATTAATTTTCTATAATTTTTTTATGTTGGTAATGACAGAATTTGAACCCTGGCCTTCCGAATGTCAGTACGCAATGCTAACCGCTCAGCTATCGCGGCCACTGAATTTATTTTGTACGCCCCTGCGGGTTACGGGTTCAATATTCTAGCCGCGGTAATGCATGACTATCGTGAGAGGCGACTAAAATCCAATAGTTCCCGCGTCAATCGGGTCTCTATAGCGGAACGAGCCGGATTTTTATCCGACAAAGGACTGTCACTCCCGCAACTTTCCCAAAAAAGGACTTTGGGGAATATTTTCGTGGTTACAACAACAACAATAACAACATCAACTTGATTTTGTTTTATTTTATAGTTATTAATTTATTTTATTTCTTTCTTTTACTTTACTTTATTTTATTTTATTTTATTTTATTTATTTCTGTTTTTCTATTTAATTTTTTTTGTTTCATTTTGTTTTATTTAAAAAATATAATAATAATTAACAGTTTTTATTTTTATTTCATTTAGTTTTTCATTACT